TCTGAGGGCATTTGGGCATGTGTGCGCCCCGCCCTCCCGCCGCCTATCCTTCTCGCTCCTTCCCCCCCATGTTCCCGCGAGTTTGGCGCCATGGCGCGCGCCGCGAGCAAGGGTACTGCGCGTGGCCAGCTTGTGCTCGCTGATGGCCGACGATATTCGGAAGCCGGGCAAGGGCTGCTAAACCCGTGGTTGTTGAAATCGACCTTCGGGAAGTTGGCTTCGTCCTTCCGGGAAGAAGCCCGTCGACTGTTTCGCGTGCCGCGCCTCACTCCGGGAAGTTGTTTTTCTTTCCGGCAGGGCCGTTTTAGCAGCCACGGTTTTAGCAGCTCTCGCTCAGCTTTCGAGATATGATCCAGGCTCTCCACTTTTGCACGCCGTCGCAGTGGCTGCGCGCGCTGCCCGGGGAGCGCCCGCCTGCTCTCTCTCCCCTTGCGATTTCATGTGTTACGTTGGCAAGCGTGTACACCCATCAAGTATCGCGTCCTTCTCTCCTCGCCCCGCTCCCCGTCCTCCCTCTGCTCTTCCCCCCCCTGGTCTCCCTCGACTGTGCTCGCAAGGGCTGCTGTGCGGGCGCCGTCGTGTCAGACCGGCTTGCGCGCGCGCGAGTTTACAGTCTGCGTTCGCCGTTGTCCGTTGCTTCCTTGTCTTCCTGCCCGGCCCGAGCTCGGGGCTCCCGATAGTTTCCCAGCTTCCGTTTTTGGTGCGCGGCATTCGGCTAGGACCGTCTAGATCGTTATCTCTTGGCAGTGGTCGTGCACTGCCCTCCTCCACTCTCCCTCTGTAGCACGCGACTTTCGCTTCTGGCCCTGGGCCTGGTTTCAAATAGCGTCGATGGTGGCAGCCGGTTTTGTATGCGCGGCGCCGACTGTCATGTTTTTTGCATTGTTTCACCCGCCAGTTTGACTCTGGGATCCCCTTCCCATCAGTTGGGACGCTGGCGGTGTTCTTCATCGCGTGATCTTTCATGGAAGCGACCGTGATCACTTTTGTCAACCCTCCTTACGCCTCCCCATGCCCCTGGGACGTCGACGCAGACTCTTTCCGCCCGCCAACGCTTTGGCGTATTCGACCACGGCGACGGGTGGGATGCGTTCGTCGCCCCTGGCATTTGGGCGCCAGGAAAACATGCAAAACAAACAACAAACATCGTTTCCCACCCTGGGCCAGTAAAATGGTTGAGGTTCTCGAGTGCGCAGCCAGCAAGATGAACGAGTTTCTCGTATGATTCGGAGGGGCACCAGCATGGCCGGGACCCGTGCCCGTCCGCGGGGACCGGCTAGGACAAGCTCAAGTCCGGCTTGGGATTCGAAACCGACCCCCCGAAGACGAGGAGCTACGACTTCGCGGGCTCGCCCTGGGGCTTACGAGGCCGAAACAGAAGGCACTTCTCCGACTGCCGGCAGATCGCGGGCGTCTGTTCAAAAAACCACAAGGACGGGGGCCCGCGGCAAGAGAGTGGCCCACAGCCCGTTCGTGCTGGGCCGGGCGTGCTAGGGCAAGCCTTCGAGCCCCTTGCACGTTGTTCAGGGCCGCAGTTTCGTTCCACGCAGGCGGAGGGATGGGTTGATCTTCGTCAACCAAGTTGTGATCTGGCGTGTGCGCCAGGCGGGCTGGTCCTACGGCGCCACCTTCAAGGACATGGTCGCGGCGGTAGGCAGCGCCGATATTGGCATGGACGAACGACGTGATGGAGAGAGCAGCTCAGCCCAGCCATGCAGTTACAAATTGCGATTGCAAGGGTGTATGTATTGAGTCGTCTCTGTTGGCGCCGACGGGGGGGGGGCCTCTTGATGAAGATGGGCACGGGCGGCGCCGTGGGAGGCCCGTTCATCGTTGCGAGCTTCGCGCGTGACTTCAGTTTGCCCGTCGGACACTGGGCGGGCGCCACCTGCGATGGGGAAGCCCCGAGACCAAGCTCCCCGCGGGGGCATGGCGGCAATTGCGGTTTGATTTTTTCTCGTTGCAAGTGCGCCGACGACTTTTCTTGATATTTGAAATTTACCCATGGCGGCTTGGGGGGCCGAGATGTTGCCCGGAAGCCAGAGTCGATTGGCGACGAGCTCGACCGCGCCCGCCCCCCGCCCGGCTGCAGGCAGAACCGCCGCAAGCAGGGTGCTTCGACGCACCCGAGCGGGGCGGGGGGTAGCTGCTGCAAGGAGATGGCGACTGCGAGGGCCCCGCGCCGCGGCGACGCAGACGCCGGCGCGCGAGGTGGAGAGGCGGATCCATGCGACAGTGGCGGCGCGAGCGGCTTCTGGCCCCCCGAGGCCCCGTTCCGACGCTGGCGGGCAGTCTTCGTCGGCCAGGTCGCGAATTCGATGCAGTCGGCCAAGGCGATCTACAGCGTGAGTGGCCCCCAGCTGGGGGCGATGGACAGGGGCGTCGCGCGCCACCTCGCTGTCGCGCTGCAGGGATCTGTTACGACGAGGGCGGGGGATGTGATTTGCACGCTGGCGACGCCCGCAGTTTCTCACGCGGCGGACTTCGCCCGGCCGAATCGACTTGATTACGGGGCGAGTGCGGCGGCGCAAAGTGCGGGCCCAAATTGACCAGGAGCCCCAGGAAGACCCCGCCGTTCGGGGTCCTACCACGCTAGGAGGAGTCGGCTTGCATGGGGGGGGGGCGGGCGCGGGGGGGGCGCCAACGACCGCGCCGATTCCATCGCGGCCCGCTGCCCCTTCCCGGGACTCTCAGGAATCCTCCGGGCCCAGTCGGCCTCGCAGTCGGCGCCGGCGTCGCGTCGCCCGCGAGCGCCAGCCGGCGGGCGGGCCGACCTGATTGCGCATGTTTGGCGCGAGAGACCCTTGCGGGCCTCGCGCTGTGCCCGCGCCCCAGTGCGACGGCCCAGGCCCTTGTAGCCTCCCGCGCTGACGCGATGGCCTCGCGCGCGGCGCAGGAGCGGGCGCCGACGACCGTTTGGTTCGGTGCCGCGCACTTCTCATGCGAGAACGCAAAGCCCCCCATGCTGCTCGCGCGCATTGCGCGCTGAGCAGCATGGGGGGCGACGGCCGCGCGTTCAATGGGAAACCGCAGCGCAAGTTTCCATTCCCGCGCGCGGGGCGGGGCATGAACTTACAGATGCGCCGACGGTCGAGAACTCGCGCGCGCGCCCGCGCCTGCCAGGTTGGGCGTGCGCACTGGGCCCGGAAATCTGCGGCTCGGCCGCCCGATGCGCCCCAAAAATCGGCCCGCCCCCCTCCCCTTCAATGCTCTTCCGCGCTCATGGAAAAACCATGCCGCCGAGGCGGGAGCTCGGGCCGCGGCCTGATGGCCCCCGCGGCACAGGGGAATCAAAGGAATCAGTACGGAATCAGTACAGAATCAAAACATAATCGGCACAACTGCGACCCCTGATTCTAGCGGAATCAAAAGAATCAGTACGGAATCAATACGGAATCAAAGGAGGAATCGGCGATGGAACCAGAATCGGCCAGAACGGGGAAGTAGGCCAGAATCGGTGCCAGAACCCGTGGAGAGAGGCCTTTTTCCCGCGAGTTCATTGCGGCGGGTCCGCGGCGCGGGCGCGCCGCGCTGGTTCAGCGAGGCGCGCAGTCGGCGCTCAGAGTGAACAGGTTGTTTTCAGGGCGATATCCTGGCGGCGCGCTGGCGCATTGCGCATTTGCGTATCCCTGGCGGGCTGTTTGAGGGCGACCCGGCAGCGTCGGCCGAATGGCCCGCGAATGCCGCGCGGCGGATCGCGCGCCCCATGCGGTCACGTCGACCGCCGTGTGCCGCGACGGCCGCGCGCCCCGGGCCGCGCCATTCGCGCGTTGGATTGGACGGCGCAGCGCCCGTCCTGCAAAAGTCGTTACATGCATATCGCGCGCGTCGAGCCAGCAGCAATCGCTCCCAGAAGCAGCCTTGACAGGCGCCCCATGCCCGTTGTCGCCCGGTTCCGATCCAAATCGCAGTTTCTTAGGATGCGCTTGCGCGAATGCGAGCGCGCGGGCAAGTAACGCGTGCGCGCTTGGCGCAGCCTGGGAAATCTTACATGGAGGCCCCCGGGGGCGCGGGGCGCCAGCGACGCTTCCGCCCGCCCCCCGCGCGCCCGACCTCCCCGCAAGCCGACTCCTCCTATGCCACGCGAACATGACGGATCAGAGACGGTGGTTGATGAGCAGCTGACCAGCAGCGCCCCCCTCCTCGCGGGCCAGGAGGGCGCTGGAGGACCTCTAGCGCGCGGCCTGGGCGATGGGCGAGGGTCAGGAGCTGTTAGCGAGGTCGTTGGGCAGCCCGTTCGAGGGGGGGGCCCTTCGCTCCCAGCGACAGGGCGGCAGGCGGCCTAGGTCGCGGCTGTCCCACCTACTGGTTATCGAGACGGCGTTGGCCTCGACGCATTTCATGGCCAAGCGTCCGACGGTCATGTCCGTGCCCCTGCCCATGACTTGGAGCTCGCTTTCGCTTGTTGCGTGCGTGGCGCGCGCGTTGACTCCGCGAAGGGCCTGGTTCATCACCTGCGTCATCGCGGCCGCGTGCGTCATTTGTTTTCGTTCTTCGCAGTCAGTAGCGATTGCATCTGTTGCGCGCAGGCATTCGAAAACCATCCGACAGCGCAATGGCGTCTCCGCGCAGCCATCCGAAAAAGGCTGACGCCATGCCCTTGGTCCGCAAGCCCTCATGTAGATGTTCAAGTCCGCAGCCTTATCCACTGCCTTGGTTGCCAATGCCGCCCCGCCGCCGCGCGAGACCCCGCGGCGATGGCGGTCGCGGAGGTGCTCGCGTAAATGGCCGGCGCCCAGGCGTCAGAAGGGGCTGCCGCCGCCAAGCGCGAGCGGGGACAAGGCGCGGGCCACCCGACGTCGACGGCGAGTTCTTGCAGTCCGCGGCCAAGATGGCGCCGCGCGATGCCAGACAGCAAGCGGTCATCGCGGGAGTCGTGCCCAGGGCCCGCGTCGCACCCGGGGCCCGCGAAAGTTTGGGCGCCGCGCGCAGAGGTCGGCTCCGATCGCGATGCGCAAACGCAGATCCTCACTGACAGATGTTCACCAAGGCGGAAGCAGGTGGATGTCCAAGGCGCGGCGGGCGTGCCGCATCCATGTGGTCGTGAATGCCGTTATGCGCGGCGTGGAGCTGACGGCCCCGAACGCAGCCAAGGCGCAGCCGGAGGTGCATGCCGTGCTTGGCGCCTGCTTCTAGCAGCGCATCCAAGAGAGGAAGCCTGAGTACATCCAAGAGAGGAAGCCCGACGAGCCAGCGCGCGAAGGCCAAGCGGTGGGCGGCCAGGGGGTGGCTGGCTGATCACGGCCTTCGGCTTTTCGCGCCCGTCGGCGGCGACCTAACTGTCGACCTTGGAGACATGCCCCTGGAGGCGGAGCAGGTGGAGCGGGCGCCGGGGACTGCCGCGGAGACCTCTCGAGAGGCATGCCGGCGATCTCCTCAACAAATTGTGGCGCTGGGTGGCGTTGGTGGGTGGACCCCCCCACGGGTCAGCGCCCCATGCCTTGAGTTGGGCTGCGAGGTCAGCTCCCCGGCGGCGGCCGCGGGAAGGGGAGGTGCGTGGCGCTGAGCGGGAGAGGGGCTAGGAGGGCGCAGCAGTAGCCACGCGGATTTTGAGCCGCATCCGAAGGCCGCGGCAGCGGGGCCCCAGGCATAAGAGCACATGCCGGTGAAGTGCCCCGCGGCCGTGGCCGTCAGCCCGTTCATGGCCACGATGTTGCTCCAGCAGGTGACGCTCCTATCGCGGTCACGGGCGTCAGGGGTGGAGGCAGTTGGGAAACTTATTAAATCGTTTCGCTCGTTCCGCCGGCCCTGGAGCGCTATTGGGGGCCTCTTGGGGCCGTCTTGGGGGCTTCTTGGGGGCTTCTTAGGAGCGTCTTGGGGCTCCTTGGCGGCGTATTGGGCTCCCCTGGGGCCTCTTGGGGGGCTCTTGGGCCCCCTTGGGGCGGGAAGGGGTAGTCGTTGGCAGCCCCCCCCCGTCGGAGGCCACGATCCTCGTGAGGGGTGGCGAAAAATAGCCTCCCCCCTGGGGATCGCCCGGGGTCAGCCGGGGATCGGCGGGGGCGCTCTTCGTCCGGGGCCCCCCAGGGGCCGCCCCCCGCGCGCGCGATTTATACATATTGTTAAGTAGTTGCCAGAGATCTAAGCACGCCTCTGGCCCGTTGGGCTCCTATCGCCATCTCGGTCGTCAGGAGTGGAGGCAGCCGGGTAATTCATTTGGTGTGCTTTAGTCCCCTTGGGTAAGGCCCCCCGTCGCGTCGCACAGAGCAGCGCTATTGACGCGTTCAGCGGGGCAGAGCGGGTGCTTTACCCAACAGGGGGCCCGCCAATGAACTAACCTCGTCCGTAGTCACCACTCTGTGATGCTGATCTGCCCGCGCATCATTCCCTAGTTGTTCCAAGACGTCTGAATGTGAACGGATACCAGCGCAGCCGCAAACTGATTATGATTATGATCATCCTCTTCCCTCCTCCTCCTCCTCCTCCTCCTCCTCCTCCTCCCCCTCCTCCCTTTCCTCTCCTGCTCCTCCTCCTCCTCCTCCTCCTCCTCCTATTCGTCGTCCTCCTCCTCCTCCTCCTCCTCCTCCTCCTCCTCCTCTTCCCCCTCCTCCTCCTCCTCCTCCTCCTCCTCCTCCTCCGCCTAAGCGTCGGCTCTGCAGGGCTGACCACACCCACCCCACCGTACACTAATTTAGCCCACGCTGCTACCTCTTCGGCGCTCGCTCAGTCGAGGCAGCGCGTCTCTCCTGGTCTTTCACTTGCATGAGTTGAAGGCCCACAGGGACAAGTGCAGCCTCGGCCATCCGCGCAATGACTACGGCGCTGAGGAGGGTCAAGCACACGTTGAGTATCGTACAATTCAATCCCATGTACGCCAGCACCTCCGACATATTGCAGGACATCGCCGACCTTTCGCAGAACACTGATTGTACGTGTCTCAATTCCACGGGTGTGCAACGCTACGGACCTGCTGGCGTGGCTACATGGCGCAGAATGGGCACTAGATGGTGTTTGGACGCTGGTTGGTTCAGGTCTCCGCATAACAATAATTCTTGTGGTTGTTGTATACTCCTCGGGCCGCACATCAAGCGCAACACTGTGGTACAAACATTTGTGTGCCCAATTCCTGGCCGAGGTGTGGCTCTGCGTGCAAGATGTAAGTATTATGATGTGGCTGTGGTTTCAATCTACTTTCGCCCAGTTCCCGCGAAGGCGGGTCATTTCAATGTATCGTATCAGACATGTGATTCTCTAGTGAAATGGTTACGATCATTGCCTTTTTGGAATGTGCATCGGGTTTTCCCAATCATTTGTACCGACCTCAACTCGGGCTTTGGGCTTACGAGATTAGAAGGTTCAGAACATTGGCGACCTGTAGAAAACACAGCGGTCGGACCCTACCACGACAAAGCAAGACAAACATATTCGGCAGAGGTTCTCTTCCCGTTCCCAGACATGCTGGATATGGCAGTGCTCAATACGTACCGCGGACTTGGCGCTACATATTGCAACAACAAAGGTCAGGGCAGTCAGCTGGGCTATATCATTGTACCGGGGTGCTCGTTATTCCAGACTCTCTCTGCTGGGCCGCTAAGACGCATTGGCGGATCACTACAGGCCATTGCGGCTCCTACTCCTCGCGATCACATCCCAGTCCATGCTCGAATATCATACGCGCTCACGGACACAATTGGGTTACCGATGTCAGTCTTTGATCATCCACGGTTGGGCTTTGTGCAGACAGCACACCGCTGGAACACAGATTCCCTCGTGGACGGATTACGACGAGGTACTCACAGTGTGGAATTCCTTCAAAAAGTTGAACAGCGAATTTCTGATGAAATGGATGAGTGGAAGCAGTTTCAAAGAGACGAGCAGACACCCAACAGAGATTGGGCATAGTTGCTCCAGGTCATTGGCGAAGCAACAGGTCCTTTTTTTCACGACTCCACCAAGGCCATCGTCGGAGCACAAACAGCGAGCAGCTCACGTCACCAGTCTCACACAGCAGCGGCACCAACTTCGCGAAGCACCAGGCGCTGTTATCCATACCAATGAACTTGCCAGTATTACAGAAAACGTTGCGAGCACCCAGCAGGGACCTACGACGACAGCGCCGACGGCACCTCGCACTGTGGCGCCGAGACATTACAGAAGAGCTGGTGGTGGCCCACCAGTAGGACCGCAAGGCTGAGGTGGCTCGATTGTTTCGCCTGCCGTCGGCCAGGGGCACGGGCCCCAAGAAGCGCAATTATAAACGTGCTGCTGCTGCGGTTCCCTGCTCAGATGACCTCGAGGCTCGGCTTCAGCTGTCCCCCTGCCAGGGGGGGATTGGAGGCCGCCATCGTCGATTGGTTTCAGGAGGTCGAGGATTCTTTGCGCCATCCAGAGTCAGGGTTGGAGGCCGAATATTTCACGCCCCCCTTCGCGGAGGATGCCTCCAGTGGGTCGCGGGGGCGCTCCAGCTAATATCCAGATGTTTTCGGGGGGGGGGGGGGGGGGGGGGGGGGGGGGGGGCAGTAAACGAAGAGCTGCTCCCCCGTTGTCGCCCCCTCTAGAGCTCTTCTGGATGCTCCTGCACCCCTGCAGAAGGATCCCCCAGGGGCTTCGAGGGCTAGGATACAAGGCTCCTACGGTTGATCAGACATGGACCAGGTGCGACTTAAAGGTGTTCCTACATCGTGTATATCGTTCAGGACAAACACCAGTATGTTGGCATTTATCCCAGGGCCTGGCCATCAATTTTAAGAGGCTCGCGAACGTGCTGCGCCCGTTCGGCAAGGCCTTCATTGCCGCGGGCCTCCGACCCGATCGACGCGATCGGGGGCCACTATTTGCTCGTGGCTGCGTGGCTGGACGACGGAGAGAGACGGCCATGATGATTCAACAGAGCTTGAGTTGGCGTCTCGGACGCCTAGGCTTGCAGCACATTTGGGATCACAAAGATATCACCAATGCCTTCGGCAGCGCCGACTGGACTCACCTCTCCAGCACCAACGAGTCCATTATGAAGCCCCAGGAGATTCGCTTTGGTGAACAACGTTTTATGAGGCCAGCTGTTGCCTTCCAAGGTCCCGACGGGTTCCTCGTCGCCAAGCCTCATGTGGGAGCTCTTCAGGGGGGCCCGTGGGCAGTCAAGATCTTCACCAGGGGCGTAGATATCGTTTTCGAGAAGACCCAGGGCGCGTTTATCGAGGGGGAGGATGAGACTTCAGATTGGTGCATTGTTGATTTGCCGCAGGATGAGGAGGATGAGGAACCTATCGAGTTAGACCTGTCGTTGCACACGTATGTAGATGGTGCTACCAAGACGCTGATCACTGCATTGAGTGGCGCCGCGTCTCATACCGAGCTCAGCTCCAAATCGATCTCCTACAACGCCCTCCTCTCCGACCAGCTCCTCACTCACAACTACCACCTAAACCCTACTAAGAATGAGACGGTGCTGGCCCTGTTCGGAGATGGCTCGCAGGCTGGCCGCGCGAGATGTAAGGCCAACGTGCCCCCGACGGCAGGCGCGCCCAGCGACCTTGCCAAGATGCTGGGGGGCCTCGTGCGTGCAGACTGTGCATCTAACAGCGAGCTGTCGGCCAGGCCCGCAGCAATTGGTGCAGGATTTCATAGCACGGGCCGATATTGGTATCAGTATGGTGTTCCACCAGTTGAGCAACGAGTTGCATTTCTTTCTCGGGTTCTAGGCCCAGCAGTTTCTGGAGTAGAAGCTTTTCTCTCGACGCAAGCGCACCTTGGCAAACTACAAGCACGAGTATTACACTATGCACGGACGGCGATGAGGGGAGAAGGAAGGAACATGCGAAACTGATGGTCGCAAGGTCTCGCTTTCCATCATGCAGGTTTACCGTTTTTGGCAAATGGCCCCAGTAAGACATGAGCTCAGAGCGAGGAGGATAAGGTGGTGCCAGAGGTGGGTAGGGAATCCAAAAAAGACACTGGCAGGGCTCGGGGGCGATGATTACAGTGTGGTGCAGCAGTTTAATGGGCAGCAGCCTCTCCGTGTTTTTTTTTTTTTTTTGGGGGGGGTTCTTCTTTTTCGGACCCCGAGCTGATCGATTGGTTCACGCTCTTCGGCACAAGAGAGATCAGGTCGGCATACTTGTCGGTTTGCATTTCTCCTCCGAATTGGGCCCCACCATCTGAGACCCCTGGGGGCCCCGAGGCGAGACGAGAGATTGGGGGGCTTGGCTGCCCTGCTCAAGGGTTTTCCAGAAGGTTCCAGAGTAAACGTCAGGTCCTGGTCGACTTACACAACCAGCATGGCCACAAATCTGTTCTTGGGACCGTCGTGGTTAACAACCAGTGCTTCGTGTGCAACAGTGTATTCGAATCTAGGAACTCAGCATGCAAACGCGTGGTGGACCCATTCCAGAGTGGAGTATGTATGACGAATCTTAGTACGACATTCCGAACACCTACACCTTTATCCTCGGACTGCCCGTTGCGCGAGGCTCAGGTGACTGACCCCTCTGAAGTTTCACCACATATACGCTCGCACTTTACCCGGTTGCCGCTACTATTCGACGGTGGCGATCATGGCAAGCATCCCAGCCTGGCAGCTCGGCGCGAAGCGCAGGGCCAGTCAGGATACAGGCGGCGACGATCGACGGCAACGGCTGGAACAACAGGTGGTCGGCCAGGCTCGTCAAGAGCTCAAGGGCAAGGAGGGGGGGCATCATGGCAGCGCTGTTGACAATATTGCCACCGCCGCCCTCGTCAAAGTGATGCAGACGGCTGGTCAGGACTACGCGGCGGACTGCAACGAGCAGGGGAAGCAGCGCGACAACGGGCCTCCTTGGCCCCGCATCTCCATGGCGCTGGTAGCACACTTTCTGGCTACTCTGGCGGGCAACAGGGAGCCAGCGGTGAGCCAGGCGCTGGCTGTTCTCAAGCACTACTGGACACAGACAATCAAGGACGACAAGTCCGTGGCCCTTTCTCTGCTGCCCGAGCACGTACGCTACTGCCGCATACGGGCATGCTTGTTCGACGAGAAGGCTGGCAAGAAGGAAGCGGACACTTACAAACGGCAGTTCATGATGGGCCCATACATTCAAGTGGTCACGATCGATGGTATGTCGCTGGTGACGGCCCACGCGGCGTTGCAGGTGTGCATTCGTCAGGAGAACGGCAAGATCAAACCAGGGGCGGCCACCGAGGTGGCCTTGGAGAGGGACGCAGAAAGGCTGCTGGCGAAGTTCGGAATGGCCCCAGATGAGATTCAGAAGCATCTGGCAGCTTAGATGGTGATATGTCTATGACTCAGTGGGTGGATCGTGCGGCGGCTTCTGCGACATCCTCGACCTCTTCTGAGGCCCGTGCTGCTTCGAGGATAAGGCAGCCTGCCCGTCTGTCTGCCATTGCTCAGTCAATTCGCATGCTCGAGCTGGCCCAACAGGGCCACCCTGGACACTTTCAGCTTGCCAAGTTGCAAGAGAAATCAGACACCCCGATTCTAGAACACACCTCGGGGAATGTCAACTTTCAGGCTTATTATCAGGAGCTTTTGGGGTTTCGTTTGACGGTGGTTCAGGCTCTCCAGAGAGCCGCTCTGGTCAGGACAGTTGCCACTGACCTCAGTTCCCCCTCGTTCTCTGCTGATGCGCGCGCTTCGGGTGCGCTGCTTGCCCCCCCCCCCCCCCCCCCCCCCCCCCCCCCCCCCCCCCCCCCCCCCCCCCCCCCCCCCCCCCCCCCCCCCCCCCCCCCCCCCCCCCCCCCTCCCCCACAACCGCCGTCACGGATTTCAGGGTCTGAACAGAATGAGATCCGCACGTAACGCCACGGCCCCCTCCGCTGCCTGCTGCCCTCTCTCCTCTCCGTCCTCTCTCCCGCGGCTCCTGCTGCTGCTTGCCCCCCCTTTACATCCTGGCCTCGCGTGTGTTGTGTGTTGGCAGTGTCCTTTTCCTTCTCGCCCGTCGTTCCCCGTCGTTCTCTCGTCGCGTCGTTGCTGGGCCGTGACCTAGGATTGAATTGGGGGCGGCTTCCGACTCTCTTCTGATGCGAGCTTGCCGCTGGGAGGATGGTGCCCATGTAGGCCGTCACGGGCCGTTCCCCTTCGGACGGTCCTGCTTTGGGCCAGTGGCTTCCCCCCAGCGAGGCTGCAGGCTATAGCCCCGTGCTATCCGCAGATCCTTATACATAGCATGTGCTCGTGTGTCAAGTGTCGCACGACAGTGGAACTCACCAGGGTCGTAAGCGTTCCAGTCCAGTCCAGTCCTCCTCCTCCTCCTCCTCGTCCTCGTCCTCGTCCGCCTCCATCCTCGGAGAGATGGCGCAGGAGGGGACAAGCGAGGTGCGTGTGCCATATCTGACATCCCATTCCTCCCACCAGTCCTTTTCCAGTTGCGGTTTTTTTCAGTATGCACCGATTGGTGTTCTAGGGGCCATGGACCCTACAATGAGCCAATCGTGCGGTGGGCAACCAAAGAATGTAGCAACGATCAGGTGGCGGATGTGCATGATGGTGACCAGGGTGATCAATGTGATGGGGAAGAATGGGTAAGAGAAGGAACGACAGCACTATCGAGAGCAGAACTGGTAGGAACGGGCAGACCAGAAGGACGATGGGAGGGGGGGGAGGGGGAACTGATGCGGGCGACGATGGAACCCTAATCGGAACTAGACATGTGGCTCCGCGTTGGGGCGAACGCGCCACGGTGAACGTCGGGGGCAAGACGCCGATCTTGCGATGAGGCCAGCGGCGCAATGGAAACCCACATGCACCAGGTCATGTTGTTGAGGCGCGCGCGCCGAACAAAGACACAAGCGCATGCGGCAGGAGCGGCGCCCCGATCGCACAGGTTCTGTGGAGAGGAGAGCACCGCTCTGATCGGACAGTTGTGGATGGGGGCGCGGGATGGAGTCAGCGGGACAAAGGGGACGGAGTCAGCGGGAGGAGGAAAAGGGGGGGAGGGGGAGGGGGAGGAAAAGGATGATGATGAGGAGGAGGAGGAGGAGGAGGAGGAGGAGGAGGAGGAGGAGGAGGGGAGGAGGAGGAGGAGGAGGGAGGAGGAGGAGGAGGAGGAGGAGGAGAGGAGGAGGAGGAGGAGGGGAGGAGGAGGAGGAGGAGGGGAGGAGGAGGAGGAGGAGGAGGAGGAGGAGGAGGGGAGGAGGAGGAGGAGGAGGAGGAGGAGGAGGAGGAGAGGGGGAGGGGGGAGGGGGGGGAGGGGGAGGGGGAGGAGGGGGGAGGGGGAGGAGGAGGGAGGAGGAGAGGAGGAGGAGGAGGAGGAGGAGGAGGAGGAGGGGAGGAGGAGGAGGAGGAGGAGGAGGCGGAGGAGGAGGAGGAGGAGGAGGAGGAGGAGGAGGAGGAGGAGGAGGAGGAGGTGCGCTTGCTCCCTGCAGGAGGTGCAGGTCCGCGTCATCAGCGTGGATACCGGGATGAACAAGATGAGCCTGAGCATGAAGCCCGAAGATGCTGAGACATATTGAGTCTGCCGCCTCCTTCCCCAGGTGGTCCTGACTCTGAGATCCGGAAACGCAGAATGAGTGAGTCTCCCACCTCATTCTTGGCCGCCGTCTCATCTTCCCTATGTCCGTCTGCCCCGAATCCTCAACTCGGCCATGCCGAGTACAACTTTTTGTGATGCTAGCCAGGCACCGCCTTGCCAGTGCCGTCTCCCAGGCCCGAGGGTGGTGTGTTGCTTTCTCCGGGCCTCAGCCACGCCATAGGGGTCAAGTCCGGTCGAGCCGATTCGATGTCGAATCCGGCCGGCCCGACCCGATTCGATTCCGATCTTCCGACGATCCGATGCGGCCACATGTTTGCATGGCGTGGTTGTGTTTCCTGGCTCAGCCGGATCCGCTTCGATTTCGATTCCGTGCCGATGCAGCTAGGTCCTCACCGCCCACCAATACACCCCAACCCATCCCGAAGGCCCCGATTTGCCCTCCATTTCCACTGGGAGCGGTTCGGGGAACATTGAACGTACACGTGTGAAGCCCGTACTCCCCCACCCAACCCGAAATTCAGATCTTCGGGTTGGGTTTGGGTGGTATGTTAGGCAGTCAGATCCGATGCCTATGGTGAGTCGACCCGATTTGCCGAGGCGATGCTGGCCGATCCTGGCCGTGCCGGAGCCAGGAGGGCCGAGGGCAGGGAGGGCTCCGCGCACGGCGCCCAGGACGGCCCTGGCCAAGGACGGCTGTGATTTCCAGGTGCCTTTTTCGGGGGGCGCCGACGGGGGAACCGGGAGGCTGGCTCAGGGGGGGGGGGCCTCGACCCCCAATCGCCAGGGGGGCTCTCGAGGGCGCGAAGTTATTCGCGCTTCGCGGCTCGGCTCCGATTCCTCCGATTCCTCCATCTCCTGATCCTCCTCCTCCTCCTCCTCCTCCGCCTCCTCCTCCTCCTCCTCCTCCTCCTCCTCCCTGGGGGAGGGACTGCGCGAGAGCGCGCAGTGATTCGCGCTCCGCGCGCAGCACGAGAAGCGCGAATTTGGGCGCCCTTGGATCGCGCACTCTTCGCCGATGGCGGCCCTTGGCGCCCAAGCCGCCGGGCTTCCCCCTCACAGGGCTCATTTCGACTCCTCATGCTCGATTCGATTCGATTGCGATGGCTTCCAGTTCCGATCCGATCTGGCCTCAGATTCCGACTCGGGCTCCGATTTCCCACTGGAGGTTTGCCAGCCTGCCGATTTCAGCCGATCCGACCTCTCCTGGCTCGGCTGCCGATTTCCGCCGATCCGATTCATTTCGATCGCGGATCCGGCTGATCGATTCGATGTTGGGCTTCCCTCTCATGGGCCTCTCGCCGACCTGTCGGCGATGCATCGCCGATTTTACCTCGTCGTCGCCCTCTCCCACCCCCTTGGCTGGCCCCTCCCCCCTGAGATCCGACGTTGCAGCGAACATTGCAACACCGCGAGGAGTCACGATTGGAGCCCCAGGCCCCAACGTTCAGTGGCACTCTCTGAGCCGGATCGATCTGCGATGGGCCTGGGCGTGGGGACCTTGCAACGCCCTGGCCCCACGGCCCCCTCAGGCCAGCCACAACTGGGGGAGCTGTGGTCCTTACCCCCCTGGGGGACCCATCGATTTCGACACCCCTCTCGAGAGATCGTCGACGCGATGGGTTCCCCCAGGGGGCCAAGGACCACAGCTCCCCCAGTTATGGCTGGTCGGCCCCTGTTCGGCTCCCCTCGCCCTGTGCGCGTTCCACGCCACGTTTTGAAATGGCGGCCTCCGCGCGTGCCAGCGCTGCCTTGCAGCGTCGAAGGGACAGCGATAGAGCGGCATGGGCAAGAGGGCGGGCCGCATCGACACCCCATCCCGCCCACGGATCGTCGATGTTCGGAGGTGGACAGACCTCCTACCCTGACACGTCGATTGAGGAATTGGCCGTTTTCGGTTCGCGAGAGGGCGTCGCGGCCGTCATTTTTGCGGGTCCAGGTCCGTTGGTTTCGGTCCCAGGCCGTTTTCACTAAGGGGAGGTTTACTAAAGGGAGGTTTGTCCACCGCCGAGATGTGGGGCCCGATCGTCTCCCTCCGCCCAGGAAGGTTCGGTTCCGCCATCGGGGGCCTGTCGCCGACCTTTCGGCGATGGCACCCGGCTTTTCCAGGTCGAGGCCCCCCCCCTACACGAGCCTACACGCCGGTCGTCGAAAGTCGGTATTGCGGGACTCCAGATCCCAATCTATTTTAGCCGCTCTCCCACTTCAAGGGTCGAGTGGTTTCCCCTCTCCCCTCTTGAGGGGGCGGGCGGGAACCCAATCTACAGTCAACCCGCATAGTAAGGATGGGCAACCTTCCCAAGGGCAGCCTTGCATCCTTTCTCCTTCGGCCCATCCTTAACGACTTTCATTGGTCAACCTCGTTCGAAAAGTGCCAATTTGGCTCGCCAGGGCCCCATGCATCCTTACCGCGCATGCTTAACTGTGAAACGGGTTGACTGTTGTTCCAACGCCTTCCTACTCTGTGCTTCTAACCACTTCTTCCGACCGACGGGTATGCCAGTCAGGGCTGGACCCAAACGCTGTTGTGCTGGACTTCGGCTGTGTTTTGGCAGGGAGCCACAGGAAAACGGGCAGAGCAGAACGGAGAGCAGAGCGAACAACACGGAACACAACGCTGAGGTCCAGCCCTGCTGCCAGTCCCTCCCCCCTATGGTTGCCCCTCACAGCGGCGGCGGCTTTAGCTCGCGCGCAGAACCGTGCGGGCCCGCGCGCCGCGCCGGAACGGCGCAGGGACCCGAGGGGGAGGAGGGGCGGCACTC